TGATATCACCTGTTAAATGCTTTCAGCGCATTTTCTTTGCTAAATTATTTAGTATAAGCACAGGAGTTTCAGTAAAAGTTAGCAGTAGAGGATCTAGCAATCCACAGGTTTATTTTTAGGTTTGGAAAATTGGATGGTTAAAACTCCTGTTTAATTTTTGCTGCCTGTGTCCATGTGGAGATTTTTCTCCACTTCTTGTTATGGAGACACAGAAGGAAATGAAAGAAATCCTCTCCACAGTGAAGGAAATTCCCCTCTTACACAGCTGTCATTAAAACAGCTGCCCCCATCTCCTAGTCTGGTGACAATGGTAACATTTTGGACTTCCCAACACTTTTTTTCTAGGCAACAACTTTTTTTCTAGGCTAACTCTTTTGCGCTGTGACTGGTCGGCACATATGTGAACCAGCTCCATAGAAGGACGGTATTGTTCACATGTCATACGAAACAGATGCAGTTCAAATCGCATCCAATTTGCATATATGTGAACCGAGGCTTACTGTTCCTTAGCCCCTTTAGTAGCTAATGTGAAGTTCTGTTTTACACAAACAAAATAAATCCAGAGGACGGTGTCTTTTCTTGGAGTGGATAATGTAGGCAAATAAGTACAAGAAATGTGCTTTATAAATTAGGTAAACAATAAAAGGTGGCATATACAGGTGAAACTCAAAAAATTAGAATATCGTGCAAAAGTTAATTTATTTCAGTAATGCAGCTTAAAAGGTGAAACTAATATATGAGATAGACTCATTACATGCAAAGCAAGATAGCTCAAGCCGTGATTTGTCATAATTGTGATGATTATGGCTTACAGCTCATGAAAACCCCAAATCCACAATCTCAGAAAATTAGAATATTACATGCAATCAATAAAACAAGGATTGTACATAGAACAATATCGGACCTCTGAAAAGTATAAGCATGCATATGTACTCAGTACTTGGTTTGGGCCCCTTTTGCAGCAATTACTGCATCAATGTGGCGTGGCATGGAAGCTATCAGCCTGTGGCACTGCTGAGGTGTTATGGAAGACCAGGATGCTTCAATAGCGGCCTTCAGCTCTTCTGCATTGTTCGGTCTAATGTCTCTCATCTTTCTCTTGGCAATGTCAGGTGAGGTGAGTTTGCTAGCCAATCAAGCACAGTAATCCCACGGTCATTGAACCAGGTTTTGGTGCTTTTGGCAGTGTGGGCAAGTGCCAAGTCCTGCTGGAAAATGAAGTCAGCACCCCCATAAAGCTCATCTGCAGAAGGAAGCATGAAGTGCTCCAAAATCTCCTGGTAGACAGCTGCGTGGACCCTGGACTTAATGAAGCACAGTGGACCAACACCAGCAGATGACATGGCTCCCCAAATCAACACAGACTGTGGAAACTTCACACTGGACTTCAAGCATCTTGCAGTGTGTGCCTCTCCATTCTTCTTCCATACTCTGGGTCCTTGGTTTCCAAATGAGATGCAAAAGTTGCTCTCATCAGAAAAGAGGACTTTGGATCACTGAGCAACAGACTAGGTCTGTTTTTCTGTAGCCCAGGTAAGATGCTTCTGACGTTGTTTGTTGTTCAGGAGCGACTTGACAAGAGGAATACGACATTTGAAGCCCATGTCCAGGATCCGTCTGTGTAAGGTGGCTCTTCATGCACTTACTCCAGCCTCAGTCCACTCCTTGTGAAAGTCCCCAACACTTTTGAATGGCCTTTTCCTGACAATCCTCTCTAGGCTATGGTCATCCCTGTTGCTTGTGCACCTTTTTCTTCCACACTTTTCCCTTCCACATAACTTTCTATTAATGTGCTTTGATACAGCACTTTGGGAACATCCAACTTCTTTTGCAATTACCTTTTGAGGCTTTCCCTCCTTATGGAGGGTGTCAATGATGGTTTTCTCCACAACTGTCAGGTCAGCAGTCTTTCCCATGATTGTGATTCCTACTGAACCAGACTGATAGACCATTTAAAGACTCAGGAACCCTTTGCAGGTGTTATGGCTTAATTAGCTGATTAGAGTGGGACACTTTGAGCCTAGAATATTGCACCTTTTCACAATATTCTAATTTTCTGAGATTGTGGATTTGGGGTTTTCATGAGCTGTAAGCCATAATCATCACAAGTATGACAAATCACGGCTTGAACTTGCTTTGCATGTAATGAGTCTATCTCATATATTAGTTTCACCTTTTAAGTTGCATAACTGAAATAAATGAACTTTTGCACAATATTCTAATTTTTCGAGTTTCACCTATATGATCTGGCAGCCATTAAGATTGTAGAATGGCAACTTAATGTCCAGGTTTTTCCATGAATGCAGCCCAATTGTTTAACAAAGCACAGTTTTTAACAGAAGTCACTCAATTGTTTTGAAAAGGTAAATTAATCTCAGTCTGCTTCAAAATAGAACACGTTTTATCTTCAATAAATGCAATTGTTGCATAGTTCATAGTTAGGCTGAATAAAAACAGTCCATCTAATTCAACCAATAGAAAAAAAAATACTTAGAAAACCTCCATATACACAATCCTATACCCACATCTGTGCTTGGCATTCTTAGCTAGCAAGTATTAGCTGCTAACTAATATTGTTTTTCTCATGTATCACATCATGTTGTTCCAAAAATTAATGGGAAACAGAAATACAGAATGCCGAAAAAAAAAAAATTCTGACTGAGGTTTGCGACAGTTTTTTTTTATATTCAGAGGTGTCGTGTATTAGCAAAGTGACTGTACCCTATCCTGCTCTTCCAAGACCATTGCTTCTTAATAATCCTTTTGATACCCTGTTAATGTACCCTCTCTAATCATAACTTTGCAAAAACAAAAACCTCTTTAGGGCTGAAAAGAGAATGGTAAGAATTTTGTGCCTGAGATCACAAGATGGAATTGGAAAATATGTCCTTTTAATAGGCTCTACAATATTGCTGCGGCACAGGGTTACCTCCTCAGGATGAGAAAGCACCCCCTTACCTCCACAACTGCATGGGGTTGACTCAAAATAACAGTAGTTCAGTCTATGTGGTTTTGTATGGCCTGGTATTAGATAAAAGTATCTAGGGTGGTAAGTGACCTGTATCTTGAGATTCCTTGACAAGTGGCGTGAGAGCTGATGGCTGTGGTGTTGAAGCCTTATCTTGTCCATTTACTAAAATATCATCACTTAGGATTCACAGCTATCAAAGATGATGGCTTATTGTCTACCAGTAGATACTAGACTTTGCAGATTGCTCAGACATATTTGAATTGCCCTGTCAGGGTGAAGGTTAGCTGTCACTGACAAGACTCTCATGGAAGACTGCCATTGTCTGGTTTTCAGATGTGGTGTTAATTCCTGGCAGGCACATACGTCTGATGATGCACAGGTGTGCTCTAATCCAGGACTCGCACAACTTCTGGGAGTCAAACAATGGCACTTTCTACTGCAGAATGGCAATCTCAGCTGTAACCAGAACATCATGGTTTTTTGATGCCCTGGGGGCTCTACAAGAGATTGAAACTAATGTTCAAGCATCTGGATGTACCTACATTTGACTTTAAGTGACAGTTAAATAAAAATGAAATTCTCTGCAATTTAGCTGTAAATGAGTCAGTATATTTTATGTTGGTGCAGTATGCAACAATAAATAATGGAAGGAATTAGCTCAGGTATTTGAGAAAACCAACTACTGTTACTAAAACACATTACTCTTGCTATATTGCTTCAGCACATGTTCATGATATGGTACGCATATAATTATTATTCCTATCAAACGTAGCACATTAATACAATAATTGAAATAACATTGCTACTTTGTCTAGACAGCTCTCTAAGATCATTGCATCCTCATCTGCAAAATGCTTTCCTGGTGTCAAGTTTTACTGTGGTAAAACATGGAATGGGCTTTGACTGGGAGAAGTCATATTGTGAAGACCACGAGGAATAAGACTGTAGTTCAGGACAAGCATCTCAACTTTATATTCCTTGCTAAAAAATCTCAGTTACTTTGTGTGCAGTTTACTATGCTTCAGTTATTTCAACCTATTTTTTCTTTACATAGATCACTGGTCATGAACTGCAACACATCACAAGACGCTGAGGGGAGAGAAACACAGAGAGAGCCTGGGGGAGTAAAATTCCTTCAAGATTCCTCCCTGGAAATGAACCAAGATGTGATATAAACCTAGAAAAGCAAGGTTGTTTTTCAGGATATTGCGTTTCTCAACTATTTTCGCTAAAAGCTGTGCCAAAAAACTTTACATTTATTGTGTTAGTAAAATAGTAACAAATGTACATAGCACACAGATGTGTGCCTCTGTACTTACTTTCAGCTCAATGTTATAACAGCGACTAATTGCAGAATTCAAAAATATTACCTTGATGCATGTGCAAAGAGCCTATATTTTTTTTCTTTATGCTCAACATAAACCATTTGTTTAAAATATATAATAAATATATATAAATATAAACATATGTAGATATTTGTATAAATATGCATATAGATATGTGTGTATGTATATATATATATATTGCTTGGTAACACAAATTACTAATCAGCCCATAATATGGCAGCAACGCAATGCATTTAGACATCTAGACATGGTGAAGACAACTTGCTGAAGTTGAAACTAAGCACCAGAATGGGGAAGAAAGGAGATTTAAGTGACTTTGAACGTGGCATGATTGTTGGTACCAGATGGGTTGGTCTGACTGTTTCAAAAACTGCTGATTTACTGGGATTTTCACGCACAACCACTTCTAGGGTTTACAGGGAATGGTCCAAAAAGGGAAAAATATCCAGTGAGTGGCAGTTGTGTGGACAAAAAGGTGGTCAGAGGTCAGAGGGGAGTGGGTAGACTGGGTGCTGAGTCATTCAGATGGTAGGGTCAGAATTTGTTGTAAACAACATGAAAACATGGATACCTTGTATCAATGGTTCAGGCTGGTGGTGGTAGTGTTATGGTGTGGGGGATATTTTCTTGGCACTAGCAAGGTGTACCTAATAAAGTGGAGTGTATATACACTATATTGCCAAAAGTATTGGGACCTCCCTCCAAATCATTGGATTTAGGCGTTCCAATCACCTCCATGGCCACAGGTGTATAAAACCAAGCACCAAGGCAAGCAGACTGCCTTAGTGGTGTTATAACAAAGTGGAAGCAACTGGGAACAACAGTAACTCAGCCACAAAGTGTTAAGCCACGTAAAATGACAGAGTGGGGTCAGCATATGCTGAAGCACACAGTGCGCAGAAGTCGTCAACTTTCTGCAGAGTCAATAGCTAAAGACCTCCAAACGTCATGTGGCCTTCAAATTAGCACAACATCAGTGTATAGAGAGCTTCATGAAATGGGTTTCCATGGCTGAGCAGCTGCATCCAAGTCTTACATCACCAATTGCAATGCAAAGCATCGGATGCAGTGATGTAAAAGCACGCGCCACTGGACTCTAGAGCAGTGGAGACATGTTCTCTGGAGTGAAGAATAACACTTTTCTGTCTGGCAATCTGATGGATGTGTCTGGGTTTGGCATTTTCCAGGAGAACTGTACTTGCCTGACTGCATTGTGCCAAGAGTAAAGTTTGGTGAAGGTGGGAATATGGTGTGGGGTTGTTTTTCAAGGGTTGGGCTTGGCCCCTTAGTTCCAGTGAAGGGAACTCTTAAGGCATCAGCATACAAGACATTTTGGACAATTTCATGCTCCCAACTTTGTGGGATGGCCCCTTCCTGTTCCTACATGACTGCGCACTAGTGCACAATGCAAGGTCCATAGAGACATGGATGAGCGAGTTTGAGATGGAGGAACTTGACTGGCCTGCACAAAGTCTGGGCCTCAACCTGATAGAACACCTTTGGGATGAATTAGAGTGGAGATGCTGAGCCAGGCCTTCTCATCGCACATATGTGCTTCTGGAAGAATGGTCAAACATTCCCATAGACCAATGTTTCTCAACTCCAGTCCTCATGGACCCCCAACAGGTCATGTTTTCAGGATTTCCATTATTTTGCACAGGTGAATTGATCAGTTTCACTGCCTTAGTAATTACCACAGCTGTTTCATCTGAGGGAAATCCTGAAAACATGACCTGTTGGGGGTCCATGAGGACTGGAGTTGAGAAACAATGCCATAGACACACTCCTGAACCTTGTGGACAGCCTTCCCAGGAGAGTTGAAGCTGTTATAGCTGCAAAGGGTGGGCCAACTCAATACTGAACCCTACAGACTAAGACTGGGATGCCATCAAAGTTCTTGTATGTAAAGGCAGGTGTCCCAATACTTTTAGCAATATAGTGTATGTGTGTGTATATATATAAATATATAAATACAGTTGTGTTCAAAATAATAGCAGTGTGTTGAAAAAAAGTGAATAAAGCTCAAAATCCTTCTAATAGCTTTTATTTCCATACACACAAAGGCATTGGGAACACTAAACATTCTATTCCAAATCAAAACATGAAGAAAAATATATCAAATTTGTGTTGTTCCTCTAAAAAAAGTGAAGAAAAGTGAATATTAGACTGTCCAAAAAAATAAGTGTTTGTATTCTTCTTTACAAACTCAAACATTCACTATATAAACTGAAAAATGTTTGAAGATTTTGCTTTCCTTTGAATCACTTATTTAATATTTAGTTGTATAAGCACTGTTTCTGAGAACTGCTGTACATCTGTGTTGCATGGAGTCAACCAACTTCTGGCACCTGTGAACAGGTATTCCAGCCCAGGATGATTGGGCTACATTCCACAGTTCTTCTCTATTTCTTGGTTTTGCCTCAGAAACTGCATTTTTGATGTCACCCCAAAAGTTTTCTATTGGATTAAGATCCGGGAATTGGGCTGGCCACTCTATAACGTTCGTCTGGAACCAAGATGTTGCACATTTACTGGTGTGTTTGGGGTCGTTGTCATGTTGGAACACCCATTTCAAGGGCATTTCCTCTTCAGCATAAGGCAGCATGACCTTTTCAAGTATTCTGATGTATTCAAACTGATCCATGATCCCTGGAATGCGATAAATAGGCCCAACACCATAGTATGAGAAACATCCCCATATCATGATGCTTGCACAACCATGCTTCACTGTCTTCAACGTGGACTGTGGCTTGAATTCAGTGTTTGGGGGTCGTCGGACAAACAGTCTCCGGCCACTAGACCCAAAAAGAACAATCTTACTTTCATCAGTCCACAAAATGTTACGCCATTTCTCTTTAGGCCAGTCAATGTGCTCTGGCAAAATGTAACCTCTTCAGTACATGTCTTTTTTTCAACAGTGGGACTTTGCGGGGGCTTCTTGCAGATAGCTTGGCTTCACATAGGCGTCTTCTAATTGTAACAGTACTCACAGGTAACTTTAGACCTTCTTTGATCTTCCTGGAGCTGATTGTTGGCTGAGTCCTTGCCATTTTGGCTATTCTATCCATTCGAATGGTAGTTTTTTGCTTTCTTCCACGCCTTTCAGGTTTTGGTTGCCATTTTAAAGCATTTGCGATCATTTTAGCTGAGCAGCTTATCATTTTCTGCACTTCTTTATATGTTTTCCCCTCTCCAATCAACTTTTTAATCAAGGTACGCTGTTCTTCTGAACAATGTCTGGAACGACCCATTTTCCTCAGAATTTCAGAGAGAAATGCACTGTAACCAACATGTACAACATTTGCTGCCTTCCTTCCTTAAATAAGAGCAATAATTGCCACCTGTTTTTAAAGAATGAATGACTTCACTAATAGAACTCCACACTGCTATTATTTTGAACACACCCCTTTCAATTAGTGATTCAATTACACAGAATCAGCAGCATGCATGTCATGACTGTTGGGTCTGTTGGATTTCTATTACTCTACTACACCTGCTAGTAAATTATTTGCCATGTAGAAATATAATTTCTACCAAAAACAGTGACTGATCAGGTTAGTGATGTCTGACTGCTATTATTTTGAACACAACTGTATATATATGAAACACACACACATACCACACCATTAATTCTGTTAAATGGTGCTATGTACAAATGGCAGTTACTATTCAAGTTTCCCTCATTCATGAAAGTATTGAGTTTATCATAGTGTTTAGAGGTTGCTGTATTTCTAAATTGTTCGAGCACACTTAGAACTTTTCAGGAATTAAATTTTTTCATTTTTTTTGTGGTAAGGTGAAGAAGAATTACATAGTTGTCATCATTGTAGCAATCATGCACACAGAGATGGATGCGGTCATTCATTTTGCTCCAAACCCCTCCATCTTGTATCTCTCTCTCCCAAATCAGATTCCTCCAATATCCCCCCTCCCTCTCTGTTGAGTGACATGTGGTCTGGATGATGACAGAGATCACAGGCAGCAAACTCATTGGGAGGGCGTCATGCGAGACTCTTGCTGGAGAAGGGATCATAAAACCATAAACCAAGCCCTCACTGAGCTTCAAAGACATTCCAGGTAGTCGTAAAAACAGACTTACATTTAAAAACTCACTTTTCCATATAATTTTATATCTTCAAATAGGACATAATTACATAAACATGGAGCACATATTCGGATGACTCACTTTAATACAAGTCGCCTGATATACTACATCCCCTAGCTGGCATATATAGGAAAGCAGAAAATTATATCTCCTTAACCATCCTAGCAGGTATGTCATATTTCATATCTAACCGTTCAACAGATGCGTCTGCATATTAATCTACTAGTGGCAAGGCTGCTAAATGCACCGAGAATAGGTTATGAACCATGACATCAAATGGGAGGGTTTTTGGTCATAGCTTAGGTCTCTGCCTGCAAACACCCGCCCATATGAGGCGATTGATTCTCTGCTTCAGGGAGACCCCTGCTGAGTTCCGAGAAAAAGCTAAGCTAAGCTGAGTTGAAAAAAGTTGAAGATTCTCCCTTTTAACATCAGAACTAACTTTAGGAGATAAGGCATCCTTTTGGCTCAGGAAACCTGATCTGCTTAAACCAAGGCTAACGGCAAGTACTTTATCCCTCTAAACTTCTTTCTGTTATCTCTTTGCTGTGTTATTGCTATTTTTAAATATATATATATTGGCTACATCTTTTTCTGTAAATATTTTTATTGCACCCTTTTGACCTTTTAGTAATAAATATTACTTTCTGGAAGTGTTGAACTGTTTCTAAAGCTCTTTAATGCAAACTAAGAACCCCTGCCTCTGAAGAGTGCTACTGTGTGTGTGTTTTAAACTTCGGTATATCTCTGCCTGCGGTGACAGCGGTATATACGGGCGCTTATGCAAACATCATAGTGTTATTGCTGATATTGCCGACTTTCCTCTTTCTCTGTACAAAAAGGAGGTGGTGGCAGTGTGAAGGGTTAATTGCGTAATTAACCTGACCCAGTAACAATCGCTCCCAGGCTGCAGATACACAGATTGTGGTCCATTAGCTGGAAAATCTTTGTGCAGAGTGCAGCTGGGCGTGGCATTGTTACACACGTGACAGCGCGGTTTTAGATTGGCTAATCCTTTGGTCACGAGTTTGGTGAGAAGGGCTGGGGTCTGTCTGATCGCCAAAATCATTATTAAAAAAATTGTTGGGAAGACTTTACTGCTGAGCTGGATTACCTAATAAGAGACATTAGGCATATCTATTGCAGTCCTCACGTTTACCATAAAGGGTCTGTTACCCCAACATTTCATATTCCCGATATGTGCCACTTGTACCATGTACTTGTATGAAAAAGTATCCTGTTCTCTTTGTTTTGCTTCCTTTGTGTGAAATATCTGGTGATCCTCCTAGTCCCCATGTTTTCCTATTTTAAACTGACCATGCTATCCATAGAAGCACATCTTTGCCAGTGTGGTCAGTTTTCTGGTTGTGCTGGGAGCACAGCATGCCTGTCCTCCAATGGTCAAGACTTGTGCTGACACACCTCTCTGCACAGCTGTTCACTGGGAAGATCAGTGTATTGCTCTTTCTCTGCCTCCTGCTGACACACCCCCTACAATCTCCACTCCAACCTCCTATGCAGCTGAGAACAGAGGTTATAAGATCACTTTACAAAAAATAAAGAAAGAAAGGTATTCATAATGTTTTGTTTTATTTTATATATTTAGAATATACTGTATACCCACATGTTAGCCTTGCGTTT